CTCTCTCCCTATTTTCTCTCCACACTGTGCATCATGACAGTTTCGGTTCCTGCCCTTTGGCTGATTATTGTGCCAATTATGCACATCACTTAGTTTTGTTTCATTCTCATTTCGGTGGCCAGAAATGGTGTATTCTCATCCTCTAAAAATAATTCATCCCAAAACAGACTTCCTCAGCTGCTACTACTTTTTCTCAAGGCTAGAAGTTTTTTTGTTTTTTTTTAATCAGCTTCAGTATCACGTGTGACTAGTCTGGTTTCAGTTCACTGGAGCCTATCCCTTCTGAACTCCATAGTTTGTCCCAAAACGTCCCCAAGAGCCTAAAAGAGCCAAACCTTTCGTTCCTCTATCAATATTTCATCCATGCATTGAGACTTCAGAGCTCCATCAATCTAGCTGACCTTGCATATAGAATATATCGCATTCCAAAGAAAGCTACCTCAGCGATCCAGGACATCAAGCTGACGGAAAATGTAGAGTTTGTGCTCTAGAATAATTAAGAGCTAGTTGGAGTAGAGGTAAGTCCCAAAATAAAGGCAGAATCCAAGATTCCTGGAGACAATGGGAATAGCCAGCGATAACTATAAAGGGTGGCCTACGTAATCAAACGACAATCTGTTTATTGCTTGAGAACCCTACGGTCCACCAGCATTAATTGTTAACGCTGATTTTCTTATTCTCCATAGGCATGTTTCTTCTTTAAGTAAAGCTTCATATTTTCACAGTGAACCCTGACTACCACACATTCGAAATCAGCAACACTGTAGAATTCTAATTTCTATGTATACTATGGATACATTCAAACTTTTATCTAAAATGTATTTCTGCATCTAGATGGTGTTGCCATCTTCATAAGAAGATGCAGAGTCTTTCTTGCTCTCTTCTAATGACCTTTGATCTAATTCGGAGATACCACAAACACTCTATATTTGCTATTCTTTTGCCCTTCTCCCCATCTCCTCAATTCTAATACTAAATAATCTGTTACTTTTTTGAGGGCATAGGTAAAGGTAAAGGTTCCCCTTGACAATTTTTGTCCAGTCGTGTTCGATTCTAGGGGGCGATGCTCATCCCTGTTTCCAAGCCATAGAGCCAGTGTTTTGTCCGAAGACAATCTTCTGTGGTCACAAGGCCAGTGCGACTTAGACACGGAACGCTGTCACCTTCCCACCGAGGTGGTCCCTATTTATCTCCTTGCATTTACATGCTTTCGAGCCGCTAGGTTGGCAGGAGCTGGGACAAGCGACGGGCGCTCACTCTGTCACGTGGATTCGATCTTACAATTGCTGGTCTTCTGACCCTGCAGCACAGGCTTCTGCAGTTTAGCCCACAGCGCCACCACCATAGGGCATACCCTATGTCTACTTACCTGCTGGATAGCTCTGTGGTTCAGGCCTCTGGCTACAAAGCTAGAGGTTGGGGGTACAGTTCCCAGCTGCGCATCCTTCACAGGAGCTGGACTTGATGATCCATTGGGTTCCTTCCAGCTCTGCAGTTCTAAGGTTGTTATTATTTATTATTATTACTATATATGGGAGTAAGCTCCACAAGACAAAGGGTGTCTTCCTTCTGACGAAGTGTACCTAAGACTGGTCTTGGCATAAACATATCAACTCAATGCTATATGATGGTACAAATCACACAATTACATTGTTAAATACGTTTAGGTTTTATAACAATGCATGTATATTCACAACCTGCTTCCCCTGAAGAAATCCACAGAAAAATACTGGGTATTTCCCGAACAGCCTTAACATTTCCAGAATTTTTTACATTGCTATCTATCAGTGTTCTTTGATTTTTCACTGTTATTTAACCTTAGCCTTAGACTTGCAGAGCTGGAAGGGACCCTATGGATCACTGAGTCCAGCCCCTGTCAAGATGGCACAAATGGGGAATTGAACCTCTGGCTTTGCAGCCAGAGGCTTATGCCACCGAACTATCCAGCAGTTCCTCATCACTCCCACCCCAAATGCAAATGTCTTGAGATTTTGATCAAGGTTTTCAATAAATGAAGATTAAATGACAGCAAGAGATAGAGAGTAAAGATTCTTTCAAAGACACAGAGAGTGCATCCCAGTTTAGTACGTTAAAATGTATATTGTCTTAAGACACACAGACCAGGACTGAAGAAGAAAGTAAATTTTGATTAGATTGACATTCTTTTATTCTCCAGTCCACAATACTGCAAATAAACAATCTGTGTTACAAGATATTAACTAACGACATTATCAAAGATGTTTCAGTCAGCATTGGTCAAACTGTACCACTAACAAGCAAATTCTCTCTCCCTAGGTCATATTAAGAATGTTCAATATAAGATTTATCAAATTCTGTTTCCCGTAAATCTAAAAATAATGTGTGTTATTTTCATAAATTAAATATATATGTTAATTTTCTTCACCTGTTCTTATACTTTGATATAGAATTAGAAAAACCTATTAAAATACTCAGTTCTAGCTTTCAAAGAATGTATACAGTAAATCGATTGCTCTCACTTAATTTCACATGCTGTTATTTCTCCTACATCTCAATGGTCAAAAATGTCTGGCTGCTCACATTAAATAAAAAACGATCAAGCTTGTTTGTTTAGTTATTTCCTAGCTAAGAAGGGCACAAAACAACAAACAAATGTTAAATTCAAAAGACTAACCAACCAAAAAGACACAACAATCTTCCTCTTAGGGCTCAGTCACACCGACGATTTACATCAATTCCCGTCCCAATTTTTTTTAATTGCTGTAAAGTCATATGGTATATAACTCAGCAGGCATATTCACACTGACTTAAAATCACTTTGACTCACTTCCGTTCTATTTGCAGAGCACACTTTGATTTAATTTTCTTTTTTAAGTGATACATCACTAAATCAAGTGACTCCTAGGGACATTCCTGGCATGCTGGCTGTCTTCCGTGTCCCAGTGCGCTTCTTCTATGGGCACAGAGCAGGCACAGAGTGGGTGCAGACCTTCCTACGTATTCTAGTGCATGTGCTGTGCGGAAGCAGAAAGGATGCCAGGAAATGGAGGATAGTCCGGGTCCACTGGTCTTCTGTTGCTTCACCATCTCCTTCACTGGACGAGTGGAGCGAATGGGTTAGGTGGTTGTAATGCCAAACATACTGAGAAAATGATGCAACGATAAACACTTAAGAAAGAATTTAAAATAAATAAAAGGGAACACTGTGGTGTCCCTGCCACCCAAAATCCACACAGGCAAAAATCAAAATGAAAGCAGTGTTCCACAAAGACTGTGGTGTCCCTGCCACCCAAAATCCACACAGGCAAAAATCAAAATGAGAGCAGCGTTCCACAAAACCACATTGAACTGAATCAATTTTAGATGCAAGGTATTTTAAAAAGCACCTGCTGGGCAGTTGGGGGAAAAAACTTGCTTTGCAGTCCCCAAAAATCGATTTCCCCCTTGTGTAATTTGCCTGGAAATGTATTAATCAATTTAAATAATGTTTAAATCGCTTTAACTGCTGTTTCTTGTTGCCAGTAGGACCGTACGTTGCAATGAGCTCTTTCACCTCCAAAGTATGATTAGAAAACTGATTTCTGTTTCCAACATTGTTACAGAGTGAGACTTCTTCGAAGATATGGGTGAATTATTTTTTTTCTGCCCCTTCTGTTCTATTTCACAGGGAAATGGCTTCTGTTCTGTCAAAGCTGGAAACATGCAGTCTCCCCGCCCCTGGTAGAGAGCACATTTATGCAAGCAACAAATGACTACAGCTATTTTATACAGCAAGAGCAAACTAGAGAAAATTTCAGAAGGGCATCCATAAAGACCTATGACGCTCAACATGTAATGCAACAAAATCAGGACGTTTCTAAAGCAAACTTTGGCAAAATTAATGCAATGAATCATGAAATGAGCACTCAGTTGATCAATCCATGTCAAGCACCATTAAATTCAATGGACCTTGTAGAGGAGCCAATCTAGGTTGAATGCAAACATCAAAAATTAAAAATAAAAACCAAGAAGCTTATGTATACATTTAAAATGTTGGCTCTTTCAACTGTGCTTGGGAGGGGGCACTTTTTTGTTTTTTGCTTTTTCAGGGCAAACTTGAAGAAACGACTCATTCTTTAGCGACTACAAATCATTATGCAGAAAAAACATTTACCCCAACTGTTATCATCTGTGAAACTAGTGGAATATTTGTTTCCTTCAGCTTGTATAGACATGGATTTGAGAGAATAACTAGCTATGCAACATGTATTTATGTTGTCAATATTTGAGTTTCTGCAAATAAGACCATGTTGTGCACTAGCTACCTAACAGGAAACCATTTCTGCTTCTGTTTCAAATTAGCTTCAGTTTGTGTGAATTCTGTTCTGAAGTGAATCTTAACTACTGACCAGGTGAAACAAGTCTGCTACATGAACTACAGTTTGAAATGTGCTCGTTTTAACAAACCACAGTTAAGATTAACCACAGTTTATCTCGATGCTACAGTTAATCTAAAATGCAGGTAAAATACTCCAGTCCCCTAGAGTCTGGGTGGAAGGAAGGAGACCACACTGGACACAAGGCTTAATGCAAGTAATTCTTATGCCACTAAACAATGGCTTAGTGTTACATCCGAATGAAGCCCTTGTGTACTATGAGGCAATGCATATAGCCGGCTGTATGTTTGCACAAATTAAATAGAAGCAACAGTATGTTTAACTAGCACAGATGTGCTGTTATACTATATGCTTCTTTGCATATCACTGTAAACATGTAAAGAGATTTGTACTAACTAAACCCCCCACTCTGGTTATTCAATCTAATCTGCATATTATCCTTCCACAGAGATGTCCCCCCAAATCACTCACAAAGTAAGAACAGCAATACAAAAATATAGCAAAGGATCATAATTACAACAAACACTCTTAATAATAATTCACTTCAAAACACGATATAGTTTTCACAATACAACAATAGCATAGAAAATTTCTGCTTCAGTTTTACATTTAAAAGTAATCTTGGGGTGAACTTCAGAGGCATACCTTTCTGGAAGAGACATCTTTGAAAGCAAAACCACAAAAAGAGTCTTCATCATTCATTGGTAGCTCAGACAAGTAAGGCCATGTTACCTCGTAATTTTATCTTTTACAAGAAAGATTTTCAGAACTACGGTTGGAGGCTATTTTGTGGCCTTCTGTTACAAAGGTTGTGTTTGCATAACAGTTGCAGAACATACCTATATAGGCCAAACTAAGGAATGTTTATTTTAGCTGTCATAATTTAAACCAAGCAGCTCATGGTTCAGAGATACAGAAGTACACTTCTGGTAAGCATGCACCGTTAGCCAAAGCATTACAGCAATTTTCCCTCTAATGGAAACTTACATGAACATCTGAGTTGAATCTTCTACACAAGATTTCAGATGGCACAACAAGCCATGGTTTGCACTTATCACAGTCTAGAATCCAAGTGATGCTTTGTGTTCCAAATGAAATAGAAAAAACAGTTTAGATTGTGCTTTCTCAGCACTGTCACATGTGCCTGACCACTAGCAAACCGACACTGGATGCATTGCCCAGGAACTATGAAGTGGTTGCTGCCAGCAGCCAATACAGAAGGCTTTTTGCCCTGAGGACCTGAGACATTTCCAAGTTTTCTAAGCAGGCAATGTTTTGATATAAACCTGCCTTTTCTAGCATGCTATTCGGGACATAAGAAGAGTCCTGCTGGATCAGGCCAAGGGCCCATCTAGTCCAACTTCCTGTATCTCTCAGTGGCCCCACCAGATGCCTCTGGGAGCGCACAAGACAACTAGATACCTGTCTCCTCTGATACCCCTCCCTTGCATCTGGCATTTTAAGATGCCTTCCTTTTAAGCCTGGAGATTGTACATCCCCATCGTGGCTTGTATCCTACAATCGATTTTTCCTCCCGAAATCTGTCCAATCCCCTTTTAAAGGCATCGAGGCCAGATGCCATCATGACATCCTGTGGCAAGGAATTCCACAGACCAACAACACGCTGGGTCAATAAATCTTTTCTTTTATCTCTTCTCACTCTCCCAACCCTCAATTGGAGTGGGTGTCCCCTGGTTCTGGTATTGCGTGAGAGGGAAAAGAGTTTCCCTCTCTCCATTTTATCCATCCCTTGCATAATTTTAGACATCTCAATCATGTCCCCCCTCAGGCACCTTTTCTCTAGAGTCTAGACAAAAGAGCCCCAAGCGCTGTATCCTTTCCTAATAAGGGAAGTGCCCCAGCCGAGTCATCATTTGAGTCACTCTCTTCTACACCTTTTCCAGTTCCACTGTGTCTTTTTTGAGATGTGGTGACCAGAACTGTATGTAATATTCCAGGTGCAGCCTTACCAGCATTTTGTACAATGGTGTTATAATGTTGGCTGTTATTGATCCCTAGCAGGGAATTGGCCGTCTTCACTGCTGGCGCACACTGGGTTGACATTTTCATTGAGCTGTTCACCAGCACACGAAGATCTTTTTCCTGATCCATCACAGACAGCTTAGAACCCATTAGCTGATAAAAAAAAGTTTTGATTTTTTTGCCTCAATGTGCATTACTTTACATTTTCTTATATTTATCATGGCCCTCTTCCTCCTTTATTTTGCCTGTTCTTAGATCCTGGAATATGGAAATCAGTCATTCTCAACCTTCTGCCTTTTTGCTCTACTGATCACTCCACCAAAAAAATAAAATCTGGGTTCCACCATGATAGAAACAAAAATCCACATTTCCAGAATAAGACATTTATCTGTTTATGACAGGGGTGGGCAATTAATTTCTACAGGGGGGGCCACATGAAAAATCTGAACTGTGTTCGGGGGCCGAACCAACTTTACTTAAAAATAAAATGAAACAGTGATATTATGATTGTTTTTATTTTAATCTTGTTAATCTTCACAAATACTAAAGAGGTTTTTTGCGACATGTTAAAGATAAGCAACTGATCAACTTTAGACAAAAAGCTATAAATGGGTATTGATGTTCAAAACTTTTCACGGGCCGGACAGGAGCGGCTCACAGGCTGTATGTGGCCCTCAGGCCGCACTTTGCCCAGGTCTGGTTTACGAGCATTAAACTACTATATATTTAAGGACATCAAATTACAGAAGCATTCCTCAGAGTTAACACAAATAAAAATAATAATTCAATTAGTCGTTGAAAATTATTTTAAAAACCAAGCATCCCACCTAGACTACGTCTACGTGGCCCTGAATAAGAACCACTCCAGACTGTTAAAATGGAACTAAAAACTGTGATTAAAAGATGAGGCATGGCTAGGATATGATAAATATCACTGACAATGATTATCAACTATAATCAAATCTTTCCATGTCAGTTTTGTACAGCAGGCTGGAAGTGCCATTTTACCAGTAATGTGTTTATGCAGCTGATGCCACTTAGTGCAAAGAACAGAAGCTAATAAGACACAGCGATGTGACTGACAGCGTGCCTGAGAGTGCTACAAAGGCCCCCAATCCTGAATATCTGATAAACCTTCTAATAATTGTCTTCTCTTAGTTCCTAAGAGGCACAAACAATGGACAACTTATTTGAGATGGCAAGTCACAAAAAGAATAAATCCAGCCCACTGCACTCTCTGCATCCTTTTAATTTTTCCAAGGTACAGTGGTGCCTCACTGACCAATGTTAATTCGTTCCAACGAAATCACTGAAGAGCGAAAACATCATAAAGCGAAAATAAAAAACCCATTGAAACGCATTAAAACCCGGTTAATGCGTTCCAATGGACTAAAAACTCACTGTCCAGTGAAGATCCTCCATACGGCGGCCATTTTCGGTGCCTGTATAGTGAGGAATCCATCCTAGAAAACAGCGGGGAGCCATTTTCTTCAGCCAGCGGTCATTTTGGAACCCGATGATCAGCTGTCTGCTGATTGTCGCAATGCGAAAAATCAGTTCCCGAAGCAGGAAACCAATCATCGCACAGCGGATTTTGCCCATAGGAAGCATAGTTTTGCAATCGCTTTTGCAATAGCAAAAAAGGCATCGTTACGCAGATTCGTCATTATACAGGGCAATCGTAAAGCGAGGCACGACTGTATCTCTCCTATCCAGGCCCATATAGCTTTCCAGAGAGGGGTGGGCAAGCCGGGCCACTGAAATATGGAAAACTACATTACCCAAAATGCAGCCCTCCAGATTACAATTCCCATTAGTCCAAGCTAGCATAGCCAGTGGTTCAAAAGACGGGCCTCTGCAGTCCAATGAAATCTGGAAGGGTGCATTTTGCGACCCCTGCATTAGCCCCTCCATGAGGTACCATGCAGAGATCTCTCCCTCAGCACCTGTCCCTAGGTACTCCCTGCCTCACTGTTCTCACAACCACCTTATCAGGATATTTCGGG